CAATTGTGTACAATATTCAAATAAAACATTTGAATATTGTCTTTTAAAGTTCACAATATATGTATTCGTTTATACTTTTAAAGTTATCACAAGTACACAGAAAAATGTTGCTGTTATAAGTGGGAACATTCCAGATCATGACAGTTCAACGTCAACAGAGAGAAGATATTTAACAACTTCAAGATCGGGAGGTATTGTACAAAGTTAAATTAATAATTGGGTTAAAATTTCCGGCAAAATAAATGTCGGATTACATATACAGTTGTCCGCCATAAGTATTCGTAGAAACAAAATGGCCGCCAGTCGCTGTAAATCTATTAAACAACTAACAAAACAAAAGATTCTTACCTTAATACTTTGTAATGTTTCCTGTACTCCTCTTTACTAGTAAAATCCTCCTAGGAATGCTGTTATACAACGATTTCAGGTTATATTAGTTACAGTTTAATTGTCTAATATGTCACGAATTTCACGTTCTAAATTTTGCTATTATTTATGTTCTGAGTTCGTTTTTGCAGTTTCCTTTTTGATACCCATCAACAATTCTCAATATTATTGAGGTCAGGACTCTGTGCTGGCCAGTTCATGCTTTTTAACCTCGTTTCCATACGAACATTTTGAACTGATAGGCCTCGATGGACGGGGGCATTGCCATCTTGAAAAACGTAGTCATTATCTAGAAAATGACGAGCAACCACTGGCCACACGTTATTGTCAATAATGTCAGTGTATGTTAAGGCATTTATGTTCCCTTCAACAACAGTTATACATGTAGTTCAGACGCCATGGTAAGTAATACATCCCCTGATCATTAAATTATGCTTGTGCTGAGACGGAGGGCACATACAATCCGTCAACTACTCTTCGCCAACCTTTCTCCAGACACTGAAACGAGAATCCTACCCAATGACTACTTTGCACTCATCGCTGAAAATTACTTTATTCCAGTGTGCATTAACAGATTTGTGTAAATTTCTTCTGCAGTATGCCACTCGTTTTTTTTGTTGACCTGACGATTACGATTTTGTTCTTTACTGACTGCTTGTGGAACCCCCCATAATATAATTTACTTTCAACAGTTCTTTTGGAGAAAGGGCGATCAATGCTTTCATAAAAAATATAAGTAATTTCATTTAAAGATTTATGGAGATATGTTTGTACACAACGGGAAAGTTTTCTCATGTCCCGGTCATGAAAAGATGTTGGTCTGCCGGATCTCCGAATGTTTTCTGTATCACCGCGATGTTCATACCTCTTAAAAAAACCGTAAACGGTACTCTGTGTGATGCCCGTCATTTGACAAACAAAAAGTGAAAACACAAAAATACCGAACTCCGTTGAAAATTCAAAACGAAAAGTCCCTTATCAAATGGCCATATCAAAAGCTCAAACACATCAAACGAATGGATAACAACAGTCATATTCCTGACTAGGTAATTTCACTTTCTTATAACATTCAATGCAGCGAAACGACTTTTCTGATCAGATGTCAGTTCTTTTCCCTTGCGACCCATTTTGATTACATTAGCTATAACGTAGCTGCAAATATGACGTCATAACGCACGTGTCACATAACAAGCACATGTGTTTCTACTGAACCACCTATACATAGATTCATTGTGCCTTTTAGAATAATTGTTTTGTAAATATTACACCCCCATTGAAACTTGGTATCGTCCGGGTAGATTCTTAAAAAGAAAGACCTATCGTTCTGAAACAAATAACTCGATATAAGTTTATAAGATCGAAATAGTGCCAATTGTATACGGGATGCATTGGTAAAGAACAGAGGAAACATGTTTATCAAAATAAGGATATGTGGTATGATTGCCAATTAGAAAACTCTCCACCAGAAACGCAACGACGAAGAATTTCGAAACTAGAGGTCAACATACAGCCTTCCTCAATGAGCAAGTATGTGTATATGTGTAATGAATTAATATCCGTTTTAGTATATGTATGATCAAATTCACAATTACAGCTTGGATTTCAAATTTCTAGTACATGAATACTTTAAAATGAGTCATTGGATTATGTTATAGATAATGCACATTTTAAGGTTTCTCTTGTCGTATAACACACCTCGGGGTGTCAGGATTGTCCAAAGAAAGACCTCCCTACGCTCGGTCTTTCATTTGACCAATCCTGACACCCCTCGGTGTGTTATACTTCAAGAAAAACCTTAAAATATGCATTATCTGACTTATATACCGTCTATAGATATTATTTTCTGCACAGTTTTGCATTATTTACATCCTATTTTACCGACAACACGAAAGTGGGATATTCTTTTCTGATGTGGTCAAGTTTTAATATGCCCTAAGGCTAATTTATAATGTGTAATAAAACTCACCAATTAAACTAGATATATAAACGTTAGAAATCATTGTCCAGTTTGAATAGAAATATATCTGTAACGGCATGAAGCAAGACACAAATGAATTGTTACGGTGTATGAAAAATACAAAAGTCACTTTGTAAGTAAATTATTGTATCAACTTTATTTATACAACAGAGATTTTTTTTTTGGGTCTATTTTCATGACATTTTTATCGCGGAAAAGCAGATGTTTTTCAACAAGTTTGTAAACGAACAATTCAGAGTAATTGTTTTCTCTCTTTTGTTTGGCAATACAACTATTTTTTTTTATAAAACTCAGAATTAGGAATACATATTATATCCCCTCCCCATTTTAAAGTACATGACTGTTATTCTATAGAAAATAAGAATGTTGGATCATTTGATTAGATAGAGTAAAAGGCATATAAAGATGTAAAAAACAACTGGCATGAATAGAGCACGAAATCGTGATACATGTACATGTAACTCGAAAAACGAATATCTATAGGTCAAAGTATGATTTCCAATACAATGTGAATAAATACGATTTTCAAAAACCTACACATACTGTGTTAAATATGGCTTGATTTAAAGTGTTATGGAAATGTTTGCATTATTAAATTCATCTCACATAATGTCCATTTATTGTATAGATAAATTAACAAAACTTCACATTATTTGTTTTGGAAGTTAAAATGTGCGTCAGCGACGATTTTTGGTATTTCAGTCTAATAAACGGAATAAAGGATTGTTTCTGCCTTTAACCTAAGAAATATGGAAAATTAAAAAGTAAACCCTCAATTGGCAACACCACACGATAGCTATCAAACGATTTTAATGTTCAAGTAAATTAAAGTTTGCTTTTTAACCAGGAAAATAATGACCTTATATAGGTCATTATGTTATATCTTGAAGCAAATTTAATTGAAACTTGGTATCGTCCGGGTTGATTCTTCAAAAGAATGACCTATCGTTCTGAAAGAAAATAACTCCTTGTAGGTATATAATTACATTTAATCTTAAATTTCATGTAAACAAAAACAAAAGTGTCGGAAAGGGAAAATGTGTGGATTTTGAAAACGGTTGTTAATAGACAAAAATAGCACAACAGGATATACCAGCTGTTTCATTCACTATTTGTATTGTTTTTAACAATAATTGTGTTGAGAACAGCGTTTTTCTTCCATGGTTCTGTTTGTATGAAAGAGATGTATGAATAATCAGCATATGACTGAATAACGCTTGTGCGTGTGCGTTGATCTCGTATAAAAGGAGAGAGGAGACCGAAAATAATGATAACATAATGGCAGCATAAAAAAAACGACAACACAACAAACAGCACTACCAAACACTGGTTTAAAAACTAAAGACTTAGCAACAAGAATCCAATGTGGTTAGCTAGACAGATGAATAGATGGGTATTTTCAACATTATTGTTATCCTATATATATATATTGTGCAATATAATTTGAATCATCAAACTTTAGTGTATGTGTTGTTTGTATGTTTAAGAAGTTACTGGTGTGTCATTTTAATAATATGAAATCACAAGAATCCGTTTCATTACTCAATGTGTATATGACAATAACATTTCAGATCACGAAACTCTCCTTTTACCAACGTTTGTTGGTACGATGTTTACAGCTATTATGTTAATAGTTGTTACCATATGTTGCCTCGTTTTATACAGGAGAAAATGTAAGTATCAATACCTTTTTATTGTACTTCAGTAACATAATTATTATGACATTCTGAAAAAAAAAAGAATAAACAAATTTAAAAAAAAGAAGAGTCTGTTTCCCTGCACTAGAAGATATGTGTTTTTTTATTTGTTTATCACACTGATATAGAATAATAACTTACAAACATTATTTGCATTCAGGTTTGTTATAATTATCTGGATAGCTGAGTTCTTAGAAAAGGCATTTTAAATCTTATATCACTACACAAAAGAATAAATATAAATTATCAGTTCAGAAGTCAGTGCTTTGTTATCGACACGGTTTTTAACATATACTGATTTCAAATTCATCAATGAAGTTACTTTTAAGAAACTAAGGTTATTACTCCCTCAGGCAAATGTGACCTTAGATTAATTTTGATATTCTGTTTAGCTAGCTTTTGGTTTTATTGCTTCTAATATTGTATCCTATTTACACTTTGCTTGTGCTTTCATATTTTTCAATAGTTCAATGCCTTCTTTGAAAATGCTGTCATATGATTCATAGAGACTTTTCAATTAGTAGTGAACATTCTTATTAAAATGGTTTCTTCAAGTGAAATACTTCATGAGCTTTTAATATCAGTTAACATCTTTTCCAATACATAGGCAATCTTCATGTGAACACAGTTTGGTTTGCGTGTAACCAAAAATAAGTGATTTTTCATTTACAGCAAAATCTAATATTTCTCGAGAAGTAAAGCCAAAAACTGCAGACACAAATGTATACACAGTCCCTACAGAAAATATAGAAAAAACAAATGATACAATGGAAATTACACCGAACAATTGTGACCAAAAACTATTGTCAGGTATGTTATTTTTTGTTTGTTTAATTTTACCACTTTAGTAATATTTAGATAAATCAGACAAACTCTGTGCTCATAACACCAGTTCATCCTTTCGTATTGATTTACACATTATGCTGTGATTACAGGAACATTGAAACAGAATAGCAAGGACTCCTATGATGGCCAAAGACATAAAAATGTTTCCGCAACATCAATTTCTGGTTCACAAACTTTTCCTGGTAAGTTAGACAACATTGAGAAATAAATCGAAGGTGTTGGTATGTTTGTCGTGCAACATGTAGAATATAGCCCACTTGTAACTACAGATTAAGAATAATACGTTATGATTAAACCCAATGTGGTATGCAAAGAAGCCGGCATAGTGTTTCCAAAAACTGTGGATTCATTATTATTCGTAGAATCTCCATTTTTGTGGGTTTCGTGGGTAAATGTGAACCACAAACTCCAATGTTCCACGAATTACAAATTTTCTAAAGGCTTTGATGTGTTTGAGCTTTTGATTTTGCAATTCGATTAGGGACGTTCCGTTTTGAATTTTCCTCGAAGTTCAGTATTTTTGTGATTTTACTTTTTGCATGCACAGATTGGCAAATCCTCGAAATCAAATATCCACGAAAATGTAATTTTCCTCTATCCACGAAAACTGATACTGACGAAAATATATGAATCCACAGTAAATGGTTGTTACAAATGTAATTGATATACTATCTAAAACATAAAGTAAATATATATTACTTAACCATGATTAATTACTTGGTAAAATAAATTTGCTATTTGATAAATTAAGAAATTAACAGGACTTAATTCAAACCTCCTGAAGCAACATGAGCAAGATTGACTACCGAAGATTGAATTTGCTATTCTTTTGATGTCCCTGTCAGTCGTAAAGATTCAAATGTTTCTACGCGATTATTATACATCATTAGTTTTAAAATATTGGGTTTAAGCATTCCTGATGAAGATAAATTTCAATGACGAAGGTCAACATTAATTTGTTTTCCATTAATAGAAAGATTTAAAGAGTTGGATCAACGGCCTACTAAGAAGAAAGGGTTAGCTAAACAAGTGACTGAAACAAACGTAGGTTGGTACATTTCCCATACTTAAAATATTTACAATTTGATATATTACAGATATATACAAATAAAGGTTCACACACGTTCATTTTTATCTATAAAGAAGTCACTCCTTACTATCCTACTACCTGTCGATACATTTAATTTTGGCATTGCACAAGTCATGTCTTCTTTGACTGTTCATGACTTTGAAATACTTAATCCCTGGGATGTGTTTTAGTTGATTTTAGTCTCCGATGCACGATTTTTTTATTATTAATTGTTTTGGCTTTTAACTAGCTGTCAGTAACTGCAAGTACTCTCAAATCGTACTTTCTTGTTAATTTGACCTGTTGATACTATTTGTAATGATTTTTTGTTATTCAATGTTAACATGGATCTTGTCTATATACCAGCTTTGATTATTTTGAATTACTACAAATTTTCACTTCTTCGTACTATGAACATCAAAATTATTTCCTTTCTCCTTAAATACTGTTCTTGGACCTGTACAGGAAGTTTTATCTAGCACTAATTGTATAGTTTTATTGTTGATATTCACCCCATATGTACCAAGTGTTAGATTAGTTTTATTGATATAAAGAAATTTCTTGGTATTCCTAAACGGAAGATTTTATACACACAGAAGAAGAAGTATACCTAACAACAAAATTATTTTCATTTATCTGTGTATAATATGACGCAGGTTTTTTTTCAAAAGTGATGATTTTCTAATAATTGTTTAAAATTTCACAGTGGTATCATACTTTAACTTTTTTTAAACCTATTTATTTACTTTTGACCTTAATTATTTATCACTTATAATTTTTATTAACTATGTATTTACATTCAGGTATCACAGATCAAATTTATTCGTTCATTGTGTGTTAATTTGAGTTTTTTGATTGAGTTAAGCCTTCCAATTGATATTTTATAGTGTGTATTTCTATGTTGTGATGTTAAACTATTGTTTCAGAAAAAGGGAGAAGGTTTGGTACCATTAAAACGTTTAATCCCGCTGCAAATGTTTGCACCTGTCCTAAGTCAGGAATCTGATGTACAGTAGTTGTCGTCTGTTTATGTAGTCCATACGTGTTTCTCGTTTCTCGTTTTTATATAGATTAGACCGTTGGCTTTCCCGTTTGAATGGTTTTACACTAGCAATTTTTGGAGCCCTTTATAGCTTGCTGTTCGGTGTGAGCCAAGGTTCCTTGTTGAAGGCCGTACCTTGACCTATAATGGTTTACTTTTATAAATTGTTACTTGGATGGAGAGTTTTCTCATTGGCACTCATACCACATCTTCCTATATCTATCATATATACCAGGATTGATAATGTGTATGCCAGACGCGCGTTTCTTCAACAAAAGCATCATCAAAAATGTTCGAATAAAAAAAAGTTAAAACGGCCAAATAAAGAATAAATTTGAGGAGTTTTGAGAACCCATTTTATATCAATGGTCGTTTTAAAGGTTTTTAAACAACTACACCACTTTTTGTTATGCCTAATTAAAAGTAATATCATATCTTTCCATGAAAACATGAAGTGAATTAAATCTTTGATACCTTTTTTGTTGGAAGGTTATTCTGTAAAGTTGTGCACGGATTCCAATATCAAATAAATTGAAGGCAAAATCTTCAAAATATTTGTCATGTAGTTTAACAATTGTTTGTTGAATTGGGTGTATTGTTAAAAAAAAAACAGTTGATAGTCCAAGGGATGTTGTGAATTATAAAGATTTCACTATAATTTAATATTGAAAATTGCGATGTTAAAGGTTGTACTACAATAAAAACCAGTATTCAAATATTTTGATAGCATTTTGTATGCAATTTTTCTCATTTTGCAATATCTGATCCTATATTTTTTTCCAATGACCAGTAATCGCAATAATAAATGGGTGACAGAATGCAGTTGACATCACAAAATTTCTTGTCAAGTTGTTCATGTTGTGCAGGTTTATTTTCATATACATGTATATTGAATTGATATTATGTTACCTAATTGCCCACACGTCGGTGTTAAGTTGTCATTTCATAGGTTTGCTTCCTCAAAGTTGGTTCATATTTTTCCAATTGTCGTCTATTGGCGATTTTGAAAATCAAACTGTTAAGTAGTAACCCAGCGTGTGTTCTTTCTTGTGACATTTGCATATCTCAAGTATTACGTTATGCGTATTACATTATATGGAAACCAACTAACAGGTGTATGCTTCTGACGCCAAATATATTCTCCACCAACAATATGAATAAAAATGACTTAAATTGTCACTTCAAAAGTTTTACAGGGAACATCCCAAATACGTTGACCGATAGCGTGTGTCTCTCAAAAAACATTTGTTCAGTTTAGATCTTAAGATGTAAGATCAGTTGTCTGCTCTGTAAATGTACATAACATATTCTATTCCGTATTGCGACATTTTGACTGAGCACGGATTGACATTGTGAATCATACAAGCCTTACATGTAACGTTTAACTTTCTGACTCATCTTTTCCCGCTATTCCCATAACATACATTTCTATTAATCTTCATTTGATGATCAATAAATCACTGTTGCTTATAATATAAAGTTAAACTTGATGCTTTTTGGATTTGGTGCAATTTAAACCTTTTCTTACTTCGTCTTTTGTTTACAAAATGTTAACCTCTGTATATGACTATGGTTGTTTGTTCTATAGAATAATGACGAATACATAAAAAAAAATAATCAACTTTGAAATAGTTGTATTGCAGATTGAAGCGTTAACATAAAAATACCTGAACAACTTATGGAGTTTGGCTGATTAGCGAAGCGCAATCCCGAAATGTGCGTCGGACGCATCAAATGTATACAATTTCATTTGTATTTAGATATAAGAAGATGTGGTATGAGTGCCAATGAGACAACTCTCCACCCAAGTCAAAATTTATAAAAGTACATTATAGGTCACAGTACGGTCTTCAACACGGAGCCTTGGCTCACACCGAACAGTAAGCTATAAAGGGCCCCAAAAAATTACTGGTGTAAAACCATTCAAACGGGAAAACCAACGGTCTAATCTATATAAAAAACGAGAAACGAGAAACACTTATGAACCACATCAACAAACGACAACTACTGAACATCAGATTCCTGACTTAGGATAGGTGCAAACAAATGCAGCGGGTTTAAACGTTTTAATGGTACCAAACCTTCACCCTTTTTCTAAAACAATAGTGTAACATCACAACATAGAAAGACACACTATAAAATATCAACTGAAATAGCTTAACTCAATCAAAGGACATATTAACACCATTGAACATACACTGAACAAATAAATTTGACCTATGACACAATGTAAATACAAAATAAATAAACTAAGGGAAGAATAATAAAAGTAACATGTTATATCGATAAGAAATGTTAAACAATTAAAGAAAAACAATATGCTCGAACAAAAATACCATCCATTTGCAATAACTTTAAACACAGGAAAATGAAAATAATTTTGTTGTTAGGTATACATGTACAGTACCAATAGAGAAAGGAAATATTTTTACAAAATAAATAATTTTGATGTTCATAGTACGAAGTGAAAATTTATAGTTATACCAAACACTTATCAAAGCTGGTGTATAGACCAGATATAACCCTGAATAACATTCAATAACAAATAAGCAATACAATTAGTATCAACAGGTCAAATAAACAAGAAAATACGATTTGAGAGTACTCGCAGTTACTGACAGCTAGTTAAAAGCCAAAACAATTAATAATAAAAAATCATGCATCAGAGACTAAAATCAACTAAAACACATCCCAGGGATTTAGTATTTTAACGTCATGGACAGTCAACGAAGACATGACTAGTGCAATGCCAAAAATAAATGTATCGACAGACAGTAGGATAGTTAGGAGTTTAACCTCTTTATAGATCTAAACGAACGTGGGTGTGTCTTTATACATCCCACTTGAAAAAAAATACAAATTTAGTTATGTTTTAATTTGCTGATGACAAAATCGATATTAGTGCCAATGTAAACTATATTCAAAGATCAAATTACAACATTGGTAAGATAACCTTTACTAATAAGCCTGTTTAAAGGTTCGATGAGCTTACACGGATCACATAGTTATTTCCGCGCTTTAAGTACAATATTACCGTAAAATTTAGGATGTGAAATACCGTTTTTAATCAGTTTTCTACAAGTACAGCCAAATTTACTAATCAAATCTTTGTATCTATGAAAGAACTTAGCAAAAGTTTTACGTAATTTATGGTAACGAAATCCTTGATTTAATAATTTACCAGTGATGCATTGATTACGTTCGTTAAAATCTATGACATCACTACACACACGGGCATAACGAACGAGTTGGGATATATATAAACCGTATGATGGAACCAAAGGAACATCGCCGTCTTAAAAAGGAAAATTAACAAGAGGGAATGAAAAATCGTCTCTTTTGTCGTAAATTTTCGTTTGGAGTTTTCCTTTAGAGATTGAAATGTCCAAATCCAGAAAAGAACAACTACTGCTGTTTATGTTAGATTTAGTTAAAGTAAGTTCTATTGGGTAAATTTCGGTAGTATATTTAGAGAACTCTAGATTATTTAACGAAATATATCATCTAGATAACGGAAGGTATTGTTGAATGTATCAACCAAATGTAACAATGACGTGTCATTTGCCTTATTGACAGTTCGAAGAAAACCTCTCCTCCGGTCTTTTAAAAGAATTATTTATTTGTTGCATCCTATAGATATACATACTAACATAATGAATAATTAATAGTTGCTTTTATACACATTTGTGTATGTCGATGCAATTAAAGCCTTTAAGACTGTTGGGTTTTTTTTCAAATGACCATAACGATATTGACTATATCAACATAATTTAAACTAATGGCGTTATAAAACAGAATAAGCAACTTCAACTTATTTGCATCACCGATACTATCCTCGATTATGAATTCCTCGAGGGGAGGGTATATATTTTTAAGTGGTATCTGCTTCAGCAAGCCATAACAACTTACCATGTCATTGTTGTTATTACAGAAAAATTGAAAAATAGTAGCAAGGATAACCATAATGCATTAAGAGATAAAAACGTTTCTTCCACATCATTTTCTTTTATTCAAACATTTCCAGGAAAGGCTAAAATCCACGTTTCTTAAATATATATGGAATATTTTTGATTTTTTTCGTACATCATTTGAATATAGTACACTATGACCCATAGAAAACATTATATATAATAATACAATACAAGTTAGGTATGTAATGAAGCGAAGATGATAAATAAGATAAAGCTGTATCCAGTTAAATGATTGTTTTTATAATATCTTGTCTTAAAATAAGGGAAATTCAATTTATTATCCCGCATCAAGTTATTTAATAAGTGACTTAAATTTGCTTTGATGCATTTGGCTATTCTTTTGAATTTCTTTTTTGGTCATTAAGCTAAAAATTGTTCTACGTATACAATAGATTCTCTCATTTGTGGTTGTTACATTGACGTGTCTGTTCCTAATAGATTGAAGAGACTTGCACAACAGTAAACTACATTCGCATTAATTTGATTAAACATCCCTGTGAAAAATAGAGCTTTAGACGCACCAAATTTACAATATGTTAATTTCATTGACGATGAACAAAATAAACTTGTTTTATTTTGATAGGAAGAATGACAGAATCCAATCAACGGCCTACCAAAAAGAGTAAGTCTGCTACATTAATGATTGGAGCAAAAAGAAAGTTGGTACCTTTCACTTCATGTAAATGCTAACAATTTAACATACTAGACATATCTATTGACTTGTAATACAAAGGTCGTAGTTAAGTTTGTCGATTAACCATTCGCCATGTTGACTGAAAGTAGGACTGCATCTTTATGTAAATCAATGCCTTTTATGAAATAGAAACTTTCTAGAGAGGTTTTTTTGTTTGAGATAATTTTGTGAATAACCACACTGATTACCATACCAAATACATCGAAGACAATAACATCAAACTTAACTTTTAGATCAACAATATATGGCTGAATTGTATTGATTGATTTTTAGCAAGACGGGTATATATTCTAAAAGTGTTGCTCTTATCATTGTATAATTTCAATGGGAAAGGTTATATAAAAATAAATATTATGATGATTTTGAGATCAATTGATATGCCATTATTCTTCTTAATGCATTAGTGTTGTATATTTGTCCTGGTATGTGATTTTGACGCTAAAATATCTTCCACCAATGACATGCATGATATGAATAAACATTGATTATAATCGTCAAAACATATGTTTGACATTCAATATTACAAATAAGTTGACCAATGTTTTTCGGTCGCCTGTCTTTAGATACGAGAACAAGTGTCTGATCTGTAAGTTTACAGATTGTATTTTGGTTCCGGATTGTGACACGTTGACTTCATAAGGTTGACATCTTGAATGATGAAAACATGTTTGATTTTTCGACGCATCCGATCTCGATCCGTTTGGATATCAGGCTATTCACTCATATTTTTATATATCTTGACTAACATTTCTATAATCATTTTGCATACTCGAAATTTAATGAACGATACATCACTGTTGCTTAAAATATGAAATTTAGCTATAAGCTTTCTGGACTAAGGGCAATTTAAAGCTTCTTGCTCTGTCATCTTGTGTCTAGATTTTTTGTTGACAAATTTATGTCAGTACAATGACTATTGGTTGTTTGTTAATGGATTAATGTCTCATTGAGGAGTACCAACCATCTTCTTTAATCAATCTTAATAAAGTTAAAACTGTAGCGTAAAGAGGAAAGTGAAATCATATTGTATTTTTTCAAAGCAGAAGCATTGTTTATATTTAGTAATAGTTGATGTTTTGAAAATGAACTGAAAATTACCAAAACAACTATTTAAAGGAATAATAGCAACATACCTTTGTTATGAAACTTCGGGTTTTACAAAGTATGTGTTTGTTGCTGCTGACTTGGCATACGTTCTACTAAAATACATTTTGTTATGGCCATGTACGAAAAATTTCCTCAATCATACAAATTTCTATCAAATAACTGAAATTAATCAGCTTTGGAAATTAAACTACCCGTTGTTTTGATAGTTGTGGCTCAAATAATATATAGAGATTTCCTCCAATCTGATTATAATGCTGGATTCAGCGTCATTCATCTGCAACTTTCTTGGGGTCATTGAAGCCCTCTGTTCACCATGCGGTAAAACCTCAAGTGCATGGGCAAAGTCACTACATGGCCCTGTTTTGTTCAGTTCATACGTTTTGCGTGTATTTAATTTATTACTAGCAATTTATCATGAACACCCACTGAGCTTTCATGCAATGTCTTTACATGTAAAAATAAGAAGATGTGTTATGATTGCCAATGAGACAACATTCAACAAGAGACCAAATGATACACAAATTAACAACTATAGGTCACTGTATGGTCTTCAATCATGAGTAAACCAAAACAATTCAAACGAGAAAATTAACCTCTTGATTCATTTACAGAATAATTAACGAAAAACAAATATTATATACCGCAACATGTATATCTTAACATCTGCATTGTCTTTGATCATGTTGATAGTCTTATGAAAGTGAAAAATCCATTCAATACGGATTATTTTTATTTAATTGCATAGCTTTAAGATTTCTTTTCCAAATTAAATTAAATCTTGTTGAAAACGTAATTTTTCTAAATCTTATCTTATCATATCCTTGTATTTTCATAGTTTTTGAAAGAAAAAAAGGGAACAATACTATTATCCACCAAATTTTCAATTTATTATTTATATCAAAGACAAGGACACGGAACTGTTATTGCTTTTTTAGTTGAATGTGACGTTATTTGCATACTATCAATATAACAGCTTGTTAATTTGAAAAATGGAAGCGAACATCCTTAATTTTAAGTACTCAATGGACAATTGATTTGGAAATCTCATAAACGCACAACTTAAATATGCGATAACCGAGAACAAGCATTACTCCACATTACTAGGATCTATTCTCAGAACAATCATGTCCAGACTGCTGAGTAATTATTAATATTCTAACAGTTTGGGATATACTTACCTTATGAGGGTCAAGAGAACACAATCATTTATAAGAAAGGATGATATCTGGTTAATGCATTTTAGACTTATTTTGATCAGAACATCATCTAAAAAGTATGAAACTGAAAACAATATGTCTTGTTAAGAGTTTAAGTTATTTTTCAGATTTTTTTCTGATTGATTATTCATTATTGTGCAGATCCTTTCCTTTGCAGTCACTCAGTTTTTGTTATGTACTTTTTCAGAGAAATCAGTACAGGTATAAAATAGCTACTGAACAGTCTGAACATTGACTGTACAAATATCAATTAGCTGCAAGTACTAACATACAGTAATTCAATTAGTATTAATCATACAAAATAATCAAATAAAAGTAGCATAATAGTTTACCATATTTTTGTACAGATGTTGTTTATGAACATTGTTTTGTATTTACATAGCACAGAGACAAAGGCCGTCTTCTGAAAAGTATATTAGGACAAAAGCTGACCAAAAGTTTGGTATGTTTTTCAGTATTAATTTGTATGATATAGATTTAAAACATAGGTAAATTATTCACTGATTCATAAACACAATTTCAGAAATATTTCAGAAACATACACAAGAATTAAAAAAACAATAGTGAACCTTCAGGTTTGTTGGATCGCTATCGATCTAGAAAGAGTAACTACGTAATCGATACATTATCTTTCTTTCGGGCATGGTCATTGCCGTAAATGTTGATAAATTTATAAACCAGGAATTTATTTTTTTTCAAAGCAGTACATACTAAGTGTTCACAATAGTGACTTACAATTTATTACCATTATTCAGCATATTTCTACTATATAACCAAATGTTCGCAAATCATTACAGCAGGAGAAAAAATACCAACACTAAATATTAGGTTGAAAAAAAACGAAACTTTCTTTTTTTTTAAAAACTAAATATGTACTAACCAAAATAATGTAATTAAATATAAGACATCATTACTTTGTTGTCAAACGAATGCACTCTTTCTGATAGTTTTCATTATTGTATCTTGTACATTCAAATAATGAACGTTCAATAATGGTACCTATTATAAGATAAATAAGAAGATCTGAAGGAGAAATCAAAACCATGCTTGAATCAAGATGGACAGACTACATGATAGTAAAAACAGTTTGAGAAAAATATAAAAAAAGAAAACGACCAACTTAATACTTAAAATCGATCAAAACTGTGTAAAACTGTTTTCATATCATTTCGTTCTAAATTTCTTTATAACACCCATTTTTCATTTTCGTTTTTTATTTAAATTATACACATTAATGACTTTTTATGTTCTTAATATATCTCGTATATACTGATGCTGTCAACTCACTCGAAAACTCATATTTTATTGACTGTTCACATTTCAAATATCGTAGTAAACATAAAATAAAGAATGCAACTGAAACCAGATGATTGTCTTCATATTTCAATCTATTGTAAGAACTGACACAAATGAACAACTTTAAAATAAAATCTGTGACAACTTTGATGATTTCAAATTTCAAATTGTTAACTTCCCATAAGCAAGTATATACCCTTTGCTCCATCGTGCAGTGGTAACATATCATAAGTATTACGTTACGCTCGTGCATTGTCTCACTATACGAACTTTATTGACACAAGTCTGCTGCATAAACAAATATTGTCGAAACAGAGTTATCTGGAAGAGCGACTGAAATCGACACATCATAAGTTTTTTGGTCATTATCAAGAATTGGTTGACTGACACATGTATGATGTGTGTGTGTCTCAACTCATTAACGACATGTTTTGGCATTATAATATCTTTAGATGCAAGAATACTGACACCAGGGAAATTTATCGCGCCATTTCTATTTTCTCTTTTTGCGCGATAAGATTTGAAACAGTCGACAGATCTATATCACATATTAATCAAAAATGTTAACTCATGACAGTAAAATTAAAAAAAAAGACATCGTAAGAAATTATAATTATTGGTATTTATATCTAAACAACATTCCTGACAGTTAGGTAAATGACACCAGTCAATCGTTTTATAATGACAACCACATTGTATCTGTTACACAGATTAATATGTCCAAACAATTGATGATTTGACCGTAATCCTTGCAGCTGCTTATGTACTTGGTTATTCAACTCTCCTCTGTATATTGTGTATTGTCTTACAAGCAAACATAAATGTAGTTGTTTCATTACACTTTATACAATTGAAATAGCTTACAATCTACATGTGCATAAATGAACCAACAATAACTGTTCACTTTGGTCATTGCAAATAGGTTTTCTGATAAATTTTCGGCATTTGATTTACGATACATGTACACTTGTACCGTTAAATATCAGTTACTAGTATCATCATTTTACAGTGCTTATATAAACTGCGAATTCAAAACGACACGAATCAAAATTAAATTAATAGATTGCGAAATATAAACATTTTCAGGTTTACAGTATTCGTCTGATCTTTTATTGCGATTCTAATTCGCGAATGTTCATGCAATTGCCTCAATTTTTGTTATGAATTTGATTTGAACTTTTCAATGAATTAGTGAAATCTGACAATCTGTTACTATTGTTGCACATAACTAATCTTCGAAGTAAGAGCAAAATAATGCCATAATTTTACACTTTAAAGTTTTAAATTCATCTTGAAATTATAATGAAACAAAAAAATATTTTAAACACAATCGAATCCAGAAAATTGAACAGCCAGAATATATTATGAAAATAATAATAATTGTATTCATCATTTTCACATTGCTTGACAGTGTCATTCTATGACGGAAACACAGACGATATTAAACTAGAGTTGCCAGAACTATGTAATAACCAAGGTAGGGCTATTGTGATTTGAGCTGCTAAGGTTAAGGAATAGATACAAGAACAAACAGATATGGCATAATAGTTCTTTTAACGTATTCAATTCACCAACTTGAAAAAACTAAATCAAAGAAACAAAGTTTGTATTGCCTTTTGTTATGTTATCTTAAATGTCAACCAGGCTGTCATATACGACACACAGACGTCTGATGTACAAAATTATAAGGCTGCTTGCTATCTTTGATATTTTTTTTCTTTTCTCTAGGTTACAAAAATGTTACAGGTTATAATGTAATGCGCAGTATTGCACATGTGTTTCGTTCGTTTCTGTGTTATGTTGGCTTAACTATGAATCCTTTATACTTTGGTATTTCAAACATTTGACTTCGAAAACTAGTGAAAAGGAATAGTTATGATATCTTTAAATCTTCAATTAGACATTGAAGTAATTTACTACGCGCTAACTATGCGTTTTAAACGTCAGTATCACTGTTGTAATTGATATATTCATCCTTATTATTCTTATTATTATCATAACGGGAAAAGGAAGTTTTTAGGCAATATTTTTTAAAGAATTATATTAACAGATAATAACCAGTTAAAAAGACTATGCATGATTCCAGAGGGCTTGTCTTCTCAACTTGATTCTCGAGGTATGCATTATTTATATCAAAATAGAAGAACACATTAAGTAATTCAATTCTTTATTCAATGATGCAGCATGCAATCAAAACGGGCTAACCAATATAAACCAAAGAGATGTGGTATGATTGCCAATGAAAACATATACATTCGAACAGAGGTTCGTTCTTGGGAATGAGTAAAACTTCAAATAGCAATTACATAAAATGCAATACTTTACACTTTTGAGATATGAGCAAATGCAAACTAGAGGAAATTTAAAGTCTTGCATAGCCTTTTTTGCTTGTTTTCTTCGAGCGTCGCTTATGAGTCTTTCTTGTACCAAACGCGCGTCTGGCATTACAATTTTTAATTCTATTACGTATTTACTTACAATAAATAGTAGTCTTCTGTTACCCTTTTCTTACATCGGACTCGGACTTCTTTTAAACTGAATTGTACTGTGCGTATTGATGTTTGTTTGTTTGTTTATTCCACATTGGCTACAGGTATACGGGAGGACTAAGATCTCACAAAACATATTTAACTCGCCGCATGTTTGCGCCTGTCTTAAGTCAGGAACCTCTGGCCGCTTTGTCTTGTAAGTTTTTTTTTATATTTTGGTTGATTTATGTCTCAGATTTTAGTTGACGTCCATTTTCGCTGAACAAGTATACATTATTGTTTATGGGCCAGCTGAAGCCCGCCTCCGGGTGCAGGATTATATCGCTATGTTTAAGACCCATTGGTGGTCTTGTGCTGTTTTCTGCTATTTGGTCGGGTTGTTTTCTCTCTGACGCATTCCCCGTTTCCATTCTCAATTTTATTGTTAGAAGACATGTTCATTTGCTTAATGTAATCTTCATTCATAATATTCTTACCAATCATACTTACATTACGAATGTGCTCAAAAATTAATGAGTGTTATATTGATAATTCTCCCCTTTAGCGTTTTGCTTGATATATGTCTGATTTAGATATCTATTTTTTGATATTCATCTCCACGATGGTAAGTATGTAAAGTTAAAAAAATTAACATGAATTCGTAGTTCCTGGAAGAAATGGTGTTTGTGATTATCAGATTGTTAGTGAAGTCTTTAGTCTAAATCTGTAGAATATGTACCGACATGGTTATAAAAGATAAATAATTACACCATCAATAACACAATTCTTTATAAGTATTTGTGTAATGGTTAGAAAATACATAAAAAAAAACACCATTACAAACTTAATCCCAATTTTTTATTGTATTTTTTAGAAATTTACCTGTGACGTCACTTTTTGTGGCGTTCATACATTCGTGTAACGCACAGTTCATTATTGTATTGTGCTGTATTTGTGTTCTGTCGTAAATTAATTTTAGGTGTTCGTTGTTATTCTGTGGTTTACATATTGAAATGTACTTTTGTATTTCTCTATCCTCAGTGATCTTGCACTTATTTGTACTGTATTCATGTTACGTAATGTTGTCATTTTAGGGTATTTTTAACATTGCCATATAAGCGGGAGGTTTGGCTAGCCATAAAACCAGGTTCAACCCATCATATTTTCCTAAAATGTCCTATAACAATATTGATTTTGTATTTACATTGTGTCATAGATCAAATGTATTCGTTCAGTGTATAAAATTGAGAATGGAAATGGGGAATGTGTCAAAGAGACAACAACCCGACCATAGGACAGACAACAGCAGAAGGTCACCAATAGGTCTTCAATGCAGCGAGAAATTCCCGCACCCGCAGGCGTCATTCAGCTGGCCCCTAAACAAATATATATACTAGTTCAGTGATAATGAACGCCATACTAAACTCCAAATTGTACACAAGAAACTAAAATTAAAAATAATACAAGACTAACAAAGGCTAGAGGCTCCTGACTTGGGACAGGCGCAAAAATGCGGCGGGGTTAAACATGTTTATGAGATCTCAACCCTCCCCCTATACCTCTAGCCAATGTAGAAAATTAAACGCATAACAATACGCACATTAAAATTCAGTTCAAGAGAAGTCCGAGTCTGATGTCAGAAGATGTAACCAAAGAAAATAAACAAAATGACAATAATACATAAATAACAACAGACTACTAGCAGTTAACTGACATGCCAGCTCCAGACTTCAATTAAACTGATTGAAAGATTATGTCTTCATCATATGAATATCAGGCACAATACTGTTCACTTTTGTTAATATGTCTTTTGATTGAGTTAAGCTGTTTCAATTGATATTTTATAGTGTGTCTTTCTATGTTCTGATGTTACACTATTGTTTTAGGTAAGGGTGAAGGTTGGTACCTATTAAAACGTTTAAAGGAGACGTGACACGAATTTTTTTTTTTTTTTTTTTTTATTAAATTAATAAATATTAGTTTTAAAACATGTTTTGTACAATTTTGCTGGTCAAAACCTGATTAATCGGCATTTTTTAGATCAAAGAATCCAGCGCTTGTCATAATAAATGATTTTTAATTAGATAACGATCACGTGATCGTGCTTACGTCAGTGGTTACAAGCTGGGAAAATGTCTCTAACGGGACGATGTCGATACACTATGGACGGTATTGACAGCACTTTCCCCGATTACTGACAAACTACAAAGACAATTGACCTCATCAATTTGAGCCATTGTGTGTGGAAAATAACCAAGAAAAGGATATTTATTCTTCATGCGAAAAGTCCAACAACGACGATTTTTCAGACAATTCCGATCGGATTGTTACCATACATATGGGTTTGTCTGATGAATAAATTTAATAAATCGCTTTCCTCATTTCTTTTTATTTAAATAAAACTACTTTTAATCATGATTGAAAATATAAATTTTATAATTATTGATGATCAAATTGTTCTTTTGTTCTCTCTGTTACGGTAATGTTATAATTATGTGTGCGCCAGAATTGTTTTGGTTACGTAGAGACTTTAAATAGGTATAAACAATCACCAAAAGTTATGCTTATAATATTTTTTGTTGGAAACCATACATCACGCCAAGGATTTGTATAGTGACAAATCCTTTATCACACTTTTGCTGCATTAGGATATTCAACTAACAATTTTATTACTTTCCCCCCTTTTATGTAAACAATGCAATTCAATATTTTAATTACGTCCCACCTTATGCATAAAATTAAACAATACAAAACATTTATTGGAGGCTGTTGTTAAATAGTTAAATTTTGACACCTATAGCATACTTGACCAGGTGAAAGATAAGAAGGCACCTGTATTGGGATTTAGTCACGTTTTATGTTATTGACCTTTTAAAACCATACGCTTTAAAGAAAAAATACTATAGTCTTATGTTGAAATAATTAATATAGTTATATCACACTTCTAAAGTATTCAATTCCATCCAAACCCTTATAAATCTAAATTCAAATTTAAGGAATTACACAAAGTAAATTCAAATTCACATATAGGTCCTTTGCGGTGTTTTTAGAGACCGCTCTTCCAAATATCATTTAGCAATCAATTTGTTTATTGCGTCCAGGAAAATATTCACAACATATAATGTTCTTTTTCTAAATATTTCTTCAAAAAGGTGTCATTTGTAAAAAATGTTAAATTTTCAATCGGACTGAGCATGAAAATGTTTACATGTAACATACCTCAGTCTTCGAGAACATGAGTTATGTATTAGTTGATGTAGATCAGTGGTTTTCTGTCAAATGTTTTCTGCGGAAATTATTTTGTTATAAATAACGTAGTTTTCTCGTTAAAATTGTTTCACATTTTCATGTTGAGAACTTTTATAGCCGAATATACGATATAGGGTTTTCTCATTGTTGGAGGCCGTACGGTTATACCAAATAATTGGTTCAAATGACACTTTCTTCATTTATTTTTAAGTTTCCATTTTAAAAAGACATGTTTTTCATCATCTGAATCTGTTCGATGTTCAATATAAGAATGTAAAAGTCTTATATGATTCACATTCTCGTATCATTTTCTTGTTTGCTTTTTATGCTTTTGCCTAATAATTTCTTATGAAGTTATAGACTTGCAAGCATACAGGAATATTACTCTTCCATCTCAAGAAGTCAATTAAAAAAATGCATCTGTTATAAACCTTTTTATATCTGCATATTCTTAAAAGCAATAAAAATAAGATTTATATACAGGTTGTCTATAATTAGTTATCAACACTGGTTAGGGTAATTAATATTGGTGGTGCATAGGGTATTGTATGGTCGTACTACAGGTATTCATTAAACATCAGGTAGTTGTACCTGTATTACTGTAACATTGATATATTCCAATCTCACCTGTGCCCTCAGCAAAACCAACATCCATGATGTTCACAAAGAGCTTATGAAGTAATATTGCGTAATAACTATATCTTATCAATGCCCCATGTGGCGTGACACCTGAAGCTTGCAACTTCAAACGAGACCTAAAATTGCGAAACTCAATTACCTGTACCGTACAACTGTGACCTATGATGAACTCATGGCATGGCACCCGAGACCCCATTCCTTATGAAAGTGGGCGGAAAGAATTTTTGTTTGGGCTTGTAAAAAATGTCCCATCTTTACACCTTCTAAGTCCACGTGTCATTCGAAAAACAGAAAATATCATGTCAATATTCTTTCTAATTATATTGTTGAATCAATAGGTATCACATTTATTCATTGTTTATCACTGTCATGCGTTTTGTGTGATAATAATCGAAACTAAATTTGCGCTGTACCCATATGTCTATATGAATGAAAGGAACCACTGACGTAGTAGCCTCGTTCTGAGTGACTTCCGGGATGGAAATATGCATATTTGACAGGTCGATAAATCGTTGCATTAACACCTCATTAAAATACATATTTTTCCAAATATTTGACACTTATATTGCTATCGATGTATTTTTGGGGAAAGTTAAGTATAAATAAACATTTTGAAACACAAATTGAAAATCGTGTCATGTCTCCTTTAAACCCGCTGCATTTGTTTGCACCTGTTCTAAGTCAGGAACTTGATCTTCAGTAGTTGTCGTTTGTTGATGTGGATCATAAGTGATTATCGTTTCTCGTTTTTTATATAGAT